ATGTGAAATATGTTCTTTGAGGTCCGCTAATAACATTAGTCTTTCATTAAGAAAAGTGTGTTGGATTCATTGGGGATTATGTTGAAAATCTGCATTATAATATTTTATTAAATTTAATGAAATAAAAAATAATTGTACCTAAATTCCTAGTATTTTGGAAACATCATATGTACACTCATATCCAAATAGTCACATTCGCAATCGAATACTACTTTCTGATTTATCAGAAAATGAAAAAAAAACTTTCAATGAAAACTCTTCTCTTCATTACACTTCAATCTCACCTCAAGCATGACTGAAGCAGCGCCGGCTGTTTTCAATTAGAGTTCCGCTGCGAATCGCATTGGCACGGAATGAAAATGCTTCGTCAAAGGTACTGGGCTATGAAAGATTTACAGGTACTCGTAAATAACGGTAGTTTCATATATTAGCACCCGAGTTCCGATTCAAAACGCCTTAATTCGACTGTTCTGATTTCTTGAAAGAAATGGTTCAAAATGATGAAGTTCCCGCCGTTAAAAGAATCGATACCGGAAGAAATGTTTTTGTTAAGATATACACATTTCCGTTAGAGCAGAAGGAGAGATCTAATCTTTGTGAAATATTTTATGAACATATATTTAATGGAAAAGAAAAATTACTGGAAAGCATCTTTCTTGTGTCTGTTTTGATTTGTGATCTGACATAAAGGACGCAGATGAATATATGTTTCTTTCAAGAAGATAATATGAACATATGAACGTTCTACTAGGATTTGGGGCTAATAATTCTTGATGACGCACAATTGTATTTTTACTTTTATCAATCTATAAATCTTTCGAGCCTCTTGGTGCGTGAGTTACAACATAATTTATAAATCAATTTGGCAAAAACCCCTTCATCCCTATATGACACATATTACCTAATCACGTATGAATCACACATTTTGTTTCGTCCCAGACATGATTGCCAATTCCTCAGAATAAAATGTTAAGATTCTATGCAAAAATTTTAAATATATGTGGAATGTTTAAGTTCCACATGAGTTCTAGTTCAATTCCTAGGGCTTAAACGCAACGTTATGGGCCAAACACTAGCTATCCCGTGCAACATTACTTAGACCGTTACAGTCATTTGACTAAGAAAAGCTCCCTTTTGTAGCCTTGTTTTTACAACCATGAAAAATGAGAAGATCAGTCATTTTCCTTCTGTGGAAAGACGATGTGAAAGCTGCAGAAATTGTTCAACGACTGCGAGAATTCTGTTTCCACATTTGAAAAAAAACGTTATCACATGTTGCATTTGACAGTCTAACCATGTGAGAAGATACCATGTGAAATATGTTCTTTGAGGTCCGCTAACAACATTAGTCTTTCATTAAGAAAAGTGTGTTGAATTCATTGGGGATTATGTTGAAAATCTGCATTATAATATTTGATTAAATTTAATGAAATAAAAAATAATTGTACCTAAATTCCTAGTATTTTGGAAACATCATATGTACACTCATATCCAAATACACGTCACCCTCAAATAAAGATAATTTAACAGTTTCAAAGAAAAAAAGAGGTACACGAAGAATATCTGATCACAATAACTTCAACTCAAATTCAACATCGAGGGATTTTCTTCTACATTAATTTTCTGCATCATCAGGTTTCACATTCTTTTATGGCTCAGCAGGCATTAAATGATTTTTTTTGGCGTAACAACAAAAAAACTTTTGTTTTTCTAAATATATTTTAAAATTTGTCCTTGACGTTAAGCGCAGGAGTGTCCTTTCTGTTAAGTGGTTTTAATCAGTATAAGAAGGTTACCTGTTTCTTTATTATTTTCTTTTCCCCATCGCTACTTGGACTGCTGATGTGCTGCTATTATGCTTAAAGCATTTAAGTCCAGCTAGTGGAAAGTTATCTACTAATCTAATCAAATACAGCCCAAGGGTAGAGTTGCCATTCAGTCGGGTGTATTTTTGAGTTAAGTACAAATACGATCAAATTTTACATATGCAGTTCCGCGTACAGAATCTGGAACTGGAATTAATGAAATTTTACAATTTTGAAAATTGAAATTTTAGCAATTTTTAAATCCTATTACAGTTAGTACGTGCGATTCCAAGCATATATAATTTCGAATTTTACAGTTTGGAATTTTACAACAGTATTAGAATATTTATAATATCTGACAAATGCAGTTTTCCAATGCCGGAGGACAGATTTCTTAAAGCGCTTACAGAAGTGATTTCTACAGTTAATGCTGATTACACAGTTTTTATTGTTTATATAATCCTTAATGACTTTCGTTTTACTCGTTAGATTATCTGCTTAACAAAACGAAGCCTTCTGAAAACAGTATCGTATTCACGTTACATACGTATGCTGAAACTGATGGAACTCTATACAGTTAGCCGGTTCATCAAGCATAGAATATGTATCGAACTACCAGCATTCAATTGTCCTATCCACTTCGGGACTTCCATTGAGCCAAAATAGTAAATAAAAATCCATATATATGTACACGCATGCATATACTGCTGCAATTATATTTAAAATTTACTAAGAGTTAAAATTAATGTAAATAATGTCCTATCTTCTCTGATTAATGTCGCATATATTCGTTTAGACCAGAAGATTATTCAAATTAACTGCATGATTTAAATATAGCAGGATATACTTAAGCGAAATGAAAACACGTTGTCCAGCCTGGAAGAACTAGCACCAGACTTTATTTGGCGAAGACCAAACCGTTTCATATGTACCTTTCGAGGTTGATAAGTGGCTTAATCGCGACTTGCTAAAAAGAACAGCCCGTATTTTTTTCAGGGAAAATTCGTTTTTTGTAACTGTAGAACTCCGGGTTTTGGTTACTGGAATATGGCAAAGTACTCGAAGTCTGTTTATCAAAAGGGTGGGATATACTTCGTGGAAGACAGTCTAAAGAAAACTGCCTCATATGCACAGAAAAACAGGCAACCATCCTGTTCGTTCCGAAGTCGAACACCTAGCATTCGAAGTCTTTAACCACTCCACCCGAAGCTATAGTACATTAAGTGTTAAAATTATTCTCTCGCTAGCTTAGAGATATCCTACAAGTTCTTAGAAAATTAATTTTCGAAGAAATTGCAAGGAGCGATTTTTGCTGAAGCTTTCAGAAGTTCTTACCCTCTTCTTTAATCAAACTTATATTTATGAGGTTGTAAGGATTATGTTAATTTTATTAACAGTTAAATTTTAATTTAAAGTTCCTTTCCTGTCAAATTCTTAACTTCAACTTACTACTTCCGGCCAGAACGTACTTTTGGAATTTGCTGAATATTTAATGAGGAGAAGCGGTATTTAAACCACGAAGTTACTTACTGAGTCAGAGAGAATCAGAGTTTCTGATTTACGCGCGTCTGCCTTTTTGGCCACTCTCTCTCTCAAAGCTGTTATTACGCTCGGCCGTACTCAGGCCCTTGCTAAGCTTCGTAGTAAAATAAGTTAAGGGGCCAACTCAAATTGAACCTTGATAGTTTCGGCTATACTTCTTTAGTTAATCTTAGTTTTAGTTTAATTCTTAGTCTTTTTATTTCAAATCCAAGTGCGGGCTTTGCTTGTACACTCCCAGGCGGAGTTTTGTTAAATCTTTTTGAAATAATAAGGGGTTAGTTACCCTCCTATCTTGTTGTTTCTTGTCACCGAACGCAAACGATTATTCGCTTATCAGTTCTTAGATTCCTCACTTCCAACATTAACTTAGAATTCCAAAGTGATATACTCTACAAGGTTGTTAAAAGTACTGGGTGCAACCGTGATTCAGTTAGATAGATGAGGTTGGCTATTTTAAACTACTGAGATTTCTGCTCTTTAATTATTATTTAAAATTTTGCTTTGATAACAAGTTTGGTTGATTTTAGTCATTTGTTAAGGGTAATTTCGCCTTGCGTCTCTTTTCTTTCCTACGGCTATTTGTAGCTACTTTCTCGGCTGTAGCAGCTGGTATTTTTCACATAAATTTCAAGAGTTCCTCTTCATCTGGTCTAGGTTTTTAAGGACGTATCTGAGAACCCGTAGTAAGTAATATAATGTTTTTGTTAAAAGGTATCACCTAAACCAGGCATGCCTAACCTTTTTCTTGCATTTACCTTTTTTAAAAAGATGCTTTTCTTCACGGATTCTCTGTAGTTTTCTCTATAACATAAAAAATAACCATAATTTGTAACATGTAAGCAAGTTTCGTACACATTTTAATTACGCAAAAGTTCTATTTTAATAAATGTTCTAGTTGTGCTCTATGTATTGGTGAACTTCTTTTAATATTCCGCATAAAATTGCTTAATTTAATTTTAAATACCTTATTCAAAAATATTCAACTTGTTTCTTGTTTTTTCACTGTAGTCTTGCGTTCTTTAATTTTTATTGTTTTTTAAACTGCATTTACTGCCTAAAACGTTTATATATATTTAATAGAATGATTACTAATTTTTAAAATATACTAAATAATTTTAGTGCACTTTTTCTTACATTTACTTTATGATTTCTTCCTTACTACATTAACACAGCTTTATATCAGTAATCAATTAGTTATAAATAGCATTATTTTGGGGGGGGTTGGTAATCATAAAGACCTTGATTATTGTTCCACTGAATTATCAGTATATATTTGGTTGTCGACCTCCAATCGATCCCTTGATTTTCACTTACCCCGTTTAAAATTTCGTCTGTCACAAGGGGTCAATACCGACCCCGTCAGAGACACCTGACCTAAGCAAACCAACAGCAAACTTAAGGCTTATCTTGTTTTATTCATTAAATTAAATTCATGAAACTAGAGCATTCTGGCTAAATCTTTCAGAAACAGAAAGAGCTTACCTCTCCACACACACAAATGTTATTAATGCATACAGAAACATTTTCAGCGTTTCCATATCCAAACATTAAACCTAGTAATACGAATGCAAGAAAGAAAATATCGTATCGTTATTTTACATAAATACATAAACAATTATTCTACTTAAAAAAATAAAAAACAAATGTTCTTACCCATTGGAAAATAAGAGGAACTTTCAAACCTGGACACCGCCGTCTATCTAATTCCAGCAAAGAATTTAAAGAGGCGCCAAAGACCACATTATCTGAAATAGTAAATATTGAGTTTACATTAACACTTACAACAGATTTCTCAAATATTTAAGTATTTTTCCCATTTTCAAACAGATTCCAAGATTTCCAAGCAGATTTCTAAGGCTTATATGAAGCATAATTTATCCAAAATTCAAAAATTATCTTTATTCAAAACCGTGTTATTTTTTCTGTCCAAGATGTAGTCATTTTAAATAATATGCAGGACATAATAGAAATGTCCTATGGCAGGACATAATAGAAAGCCCCCGACACAAACGTTAGCTAAAACGGAAGAAAAACAACTCCATGTATTGATTTTAAAAAAATATATCAATCCCACAGATCGAGCCGAACTTGATAGAACTCGTATAATCCATGTCTCGCCTGAAATGGCTTCATATGAACGAAGGTTTTTAGTCTTTTGTGAAGGCACTGTTTACATCCTCACAACGAGTACTCCAGATGGATACACGCCTCAAAAAACCAGACGCCGTGGGGTTTCGGGCCCTTTAGCCGCAAACCTTCGAAGAAGCAAACATTGACACTCTTCCACCACTTCGAAATAAACTCATGTAAGATCACACTACAACAGCAAAACGCACACCGAAGGATTCATTCAAGTATTTAAGAAACTACATACATAACGTACCTGAATGTATATGATCGAAATGACGAGTCATTAGAGCTATTTATTCGGATAAAATTGAAATTGAAAAAAAAATTCAATTGTGCAATTGAAAAAAAAATTTCACTAGAGTAACACCTTCGGATCAGATATTAAAGGTTACATAAAATTTAATAAAACACACGTTTCATAATGCTCTTAGGTACTCGATGTCAAAAATATGCTTCATCAGGGAGAAGTTGCACTAGTCAGTAAGAATGTGCAAATAGAAATCCAGTCCATTGACAGCCGTACCAATAGTGATTTGCCATAGTTTTACTAAAAAACGGTAACATTTCTCTCACACACTGTGATGCGGTAGAGAAAAACTAGGAAAACTGCCAGGCTATTGTAATACACGTCTCGTCGCATTTACGTGTGATCTGGAGGATAGTTGGCGTTTTAACACCCGATTCCACGGACTGGCCATACCACCTCACGCATTCAAAGGCTTCTGGAGCCGGCAGCAAACCATATCTCATAGCCATACGATTAGTTGAATACTGTCTTTTACATGTACCAAGAAAGATGTCATTTAAATCCGCAACTGTGATGCTCGGCACTGACATGGCGAAATAATGGCTTTCTAGAATGCTTAATTCTTTCCGAAGTTGTATCGTATCAGCTCATATGATATGTTTATCTTTTACCTTCAGATGTCCAGGCAAATTTTGAAAAGATAATAATGTAACAATAATGTCTATACAGTGATAAATGTATGTCTGTGTGGTAATATTTCATAATACGAATAAAGCACCCGGACAAAAAAGGGTGGGATTCCAAACGAGCCGCTGGCGATGGGCGGGCCGGCGGTGTGCAATGGGCCAAGCGTATATTCTTTGCAGATTCTAGAGATGGTCTAGAACTCTGTGGAGTGAACGTGTTTCTAGATAGTTAGCACATAGGTGCAATACTTGCTTCACCACCTGTCTGTATCTATACCCTCAGATGTTAGTATTCAAACCCGAACGTTTGGTATTGCTCGTATAAATTTCATTAACGTTGTCTTGAGACATAGCTTTCTTCCTCGTAGTTCAGCAAGTGTCTTTGAACTATGTTTTCCATGAGCAAATGACATCAACAGCACTGAATTGCCGCAGCACTTCTATCCACGCGCTTATTGTTAGGCTGTTTGCAAATTTTAAAATCGACTTCAGTTCATCTTCGTAGCTCGCCGAATTTTACAACTGTAATCTGTTGCCACAGTTGGTCTTGCATTCGAATTTTGAACTTTGCATCTAGCCTCTTTAGTACTCATCCGCTGCGAAAGTATACATATTAAGCTACTACATTTGATATTTTAATCACTTGCAATTTGAGTCTTGGAAAATGTGCTCGCGGAATTCCTTCAGATTGAAAAATATTTCCAAGTGTCCCCTATTCCACAGGTTAGATAGCGCATTAAACCACTGCACTCTGTTAGTTTCGTTACATGAGAATTTGATGTTAAATATTATTTTCACTCATCGATCATTAGCTCTTCATTTGTTATTTCTAGATAAATTCTTTGACTTTTCCCTGCTACGTATCTGAAAAATCCTTTCGCGCGAATCGCTTTTGCAATGTGTAGGACTTCTCTGGCTTCATTTTCAGTCAATGAAAATGCTCTAATACTGTTGATCACTTCTGACCAGACCTGGTGCCAGCAAGCGTTCAGTGTTGATGGATGGATGCTACGTATAAATGTAACCTACGTTGGACAATTTAAATGAAATACTTATTATAACGCGCATATGCGAAATGGCGTTTCAAAAGTGTTTACTGTATTCAATAAGTGTTTAACGCGAAATGCGTTTAAAAAACGATGCATTCAATATAATGTCATCACGCATTACACCCTTCCATAAAACGCTTTTGAGAAGTTGAGTTTTATTTTTTAATTAACATCTAATTTTAGGTTTATCGTCAAGAAATATTCGTAGCATCACAACAATCATCTTCGGAATAAACTGGGATAGTTGTAATTATGACTAATATTTCGGGACTACAACCCATTTAAAGCCATACAAAATTGTACCAATTAAGTTACTTTTATTATTATTATCGATCTAGCCATATAATTCTTTATTCCTTTTTCTTCTTAACTGTCAAATTTTGACTCACGTGGATCAAGTGCATTTCTCAGCTTAGCTATAAGTCAAATATGTCAATAGCAAAGCTGTTTATTATATCAATGAAGCAATTTCATTCATATTACATTTTTAATAGGGCAAAATTTGCATAAACAAACGGAAGCTAAGCTTGAAATTTGCTTTTTTTTTTCAATCAAGAACAGAAATTTGCTTCAAGGTATTTAAAATAAACAAATGCACACTCAAACTCTCTCGCGCCACTTCTGAAAATGATTTCAACATCTGAAGAGTCTTAACTGCATTCATTATAGTTTTTTTAAAAGAAAGTAAATATTTTTATTTCCTCGGATGCAACTAAAGCACTGTTAGGAGCTGTAACGTAAAGAATGATATAGTTTGCAGCTTTCAAATATCATGTCCGAAAGATCTGACACTGTTTTTTAGGATGGGTTTATTTTCTCGAAATTAAATTAAAGAAATCTTATTACAGCAAGAATAACAAATATCGAAGTCCGATTAAATCGGAAGCGACCATTATTCAAGAAGAGATAATAAGCAAATATATTGTTTATAATCGTTTTTGCTTTTAATAACTTCAACGATTGTTAGAGCGGCTATACAAAATTGCTTATAGAAATGTCATAAATGCCAACGAGATGGTTCTTTACTTTCCTGATGCTTAGGCAAATTGGGATGTAGCAGTAAAGTTTGATTGCTTATGTGCAAAGCTTGCAAGTGTTATTTGTCCTAAGACAGATGTCTTCCTGCGCGGCTTTCAGAGAGAATGGATATCAAAGAGAGTGAATTATTTTGATTAAGACAATGCAAGCAATGGTTATCTGCTTAAAAGCAGGAATACCTTCATGAAGGACTTTGAAAAGGACATTTGCACGCTATCACGTTATGCGGAAAAAAACATAAGCCCCGTATGACATAATGGCAAAGCACACTAGAGTACTAGTTCTCTCGGATTTGAACCGAGGCGAATGGGTTCCTTCCATGATTTATTATCGTGAATTCCCTCGTGTGTAATTGTGAATACGATTTAATTTCCCTTAAAAAGACCTCAACAAAACCATCCTTTTCTTCACGCAGATAGCCTCATGTTCTTTGCTATATTCAAATACTAAACCAGTCCATTTGCGGAGAAACCAATTTGAGAAGTAATACCAGTACTTATCGGTCTTATCCTCTCGGCCTTTAGCGCGCACATGTTGGAGAAAAGGAAAACACTTCTATAAAAAAAAATCGTATTGTAAAAAATATTTTAATACTTAAACAATTGTGTTAGTTGCTTCTAACATTACCCTTTTCAATTTCAATGCGAGGTATACTAGCCTTAGTTATATATTCTAACAATATTTCTCTTAAAACTTTTACTGTTGTTGCCTGTACATGTAAAACAAAATGTCACCAAAATATCAGGCTACTGCACGCAAAATATCGAATTAGCAACACAACTTTCGGATAATCGTAACTTTGTAAGACTCGCTGGCATTAATCAAAATACTACAATTAGATTTAGTACACTTCTGTCGTACATACAGAAGTGTTTCTACATTCAGTTATTCTTTGCTTAAAATCAATTAAATCGTACAACTATCGATTGCTATTTATGGGATATATCTACTCTAATCTTTTCTTTTGTGAAGTAATTTTCAATCTCTTTCAGTTAATGAGTCCTCTCCTCAAAAGAAACCGAATGAGACAAATGCAATAAAAATTAAAAGTAAATGGTTAAGTAAGTATAGCATACATGCACTGGAAATGACTCTCCTTTGCACATCCTTTCCACAAGGCAATCACTGTTTATGTTAACCTGTCAACGATTCTAGCGTTTGGGCTTGTTATGAAAATATTTAATAAATGGCCAGCCGCCTCAATTTATCGTAGATACCTAATGTATGCGTATCTTTGAAGGATTTAAGAACGTTGAATTCTGGAGTTTTTCGGTCCTGGCTCATACGCAAATGAAAAGACTGACTTAATGTGTCACTTTCCCAAAGTATAATGTGAATACAAGCTAGTTTTCATTAGAATTTTCTCCATGAAAGCATACATCATGTTAAGCCGATTACCTTATTGGAATGCTTTACCTTACTCAACTAATTGAAACTCTCTGATAGATAATATTAGTTTTAATTGTTCTCCTTAAGATTTTCGCATCCCTTATTTGTATAATAGGTACATCAGCCTCTATACAACAGACGTGTTATTTTGTTAATTTTATGAGCTTTGTTAATCAGGCTAAAACATTTTTGATTCGTTTTGCAAT